AGAGAGAGAGAGAGAGAGAGAGAGAGAGAGAGAGAGAGAGAGAGAGAGAGAGAGAGAGAAACAAACACAACAAAGAAGGAGGAGAAATAAGGACGACAGATGTTTGATAAGAAAGAGGGAGCAAACATCACGAGTACACCCGCCAAACACCCACCAAGAGGTTTAGAACACCAGCAATTACAACGTGGCTGTAAAAGGACAACAGGAGACAAGTGCATGTACATAATTTGTGATGCATGCTGACAAATGAGTTACTTCTCGCAATCCACAAATGGAGATATTGGCCAAAAATCGACATTAGGGTCAAACTTGTAGATTTTCAATTGATGCCAAATTCTTTTACTATAACATGTCTTTTATTGTTTCATACTTACAAACTGTAAAAAGTTCACCTATAAGCGTGATTTATCTATTTTCTTAAGGCTTGAATCAGAGAAGTAACTCATTTTGTCAGCACACTTCACATTTGTCTTTCGTTTTCCCGACGACAGAGCTAAAGTTGTTCCCGCATCCGATCCGGACATTGGGGACTGCCTTGTTAGTGAGATAACTTCCTGGGCCTTCGGCATATTGTGGTAGGGTGGCCAGTTAGTTCCTTACTACGTTGCCTTTACTTCCCCAACTCGAAGTCAGGTACCCATTACTGCTGGGTGGGCAAAAAAAATCTGCGTCCGAACGGACGTTCGAACCCGGCCGCTTCGGAGACGAGCGCACTAACCGCTCCGCCACCGCACCCTCGATGATAATGTAATATAAATCTTGTTGAAAAATTGGAGGTCCCCTTTCTTATCAAACGTCTTTGCGCGCGATATTATAATGTCCCACCAATCCATTAATTAGCACCACAGAGATTGTAGTGGATACCCCATATTAGTAGGCCTAGTACTGAGAGTAAAGTATGTTCCAAATGGAGGGCTAAAGTTGACTTTTACGGAGAAATCAACACTATAGTTGATTACTGAGGCTCGTAGTGTTGAATAATAATGAAATGTATTATCGCTGGTTTATTTTGTACTGTTTCGGTGTCTTAAAGTTTGCTCACAACCCTTTTTCTTGAAATGGCAACTACTAACTTACTTTAAATGCCACCTCTTCACCTCCCCTCACACACATATTATGCCCCCC